ATGTCCAAAAAGGCTTTGAAACATCATAGCGGGGATGTTTACCCTGGCTGTTTTCCAAAACCTCGTTCTACTCCTTACATCATCCTAACTGAAATGGAACCTCATAAGTGACTGATTTGTAAACCTCCAATATACTTCACACCAGTTCATTCTTCGATTTAGCTTGATGTCATTTCTAACAAAATCAGGCCAAAACGAAGTTCATTTTGTGTTTGTTTCGGGAGTTCGAAACAGCTTGCCAAAGCAAAATTTACGAAAAAGTTCGTTCTGACAGGTAAACGCTTTCGAACTACTATTGGTCCGTGGCGATTACTTAAAGCTGCCGTCGGCAACATTTTTTTGATCATATTCAGTGAAATCGACACTATAATCTGAGAGAACAACATAAATAAAGTGGTTTTAGAAAAAACCCCGAGCTTCTAACTCCACCTGGAGCGTGTTATTTGTTTTGCAAAAATCCACAGCTCCCGGTTCATCATGTCCAATCAGCGCAGGGGGGTGTGAGATCTGACTGTCAATCACAGATCGGGCACACGCCACCCCTCGCGCACGTTACAATCACATGCACACGCCTGAAGTTCGCGGAAGTTCGCGCAGTAACGAAGAGTGATGGCGGAAAATCAAGTAAGCTCAGTTAGAGTATAAATGACGTTAGCAAATGCAATCTATCGGTACATTAGCCAGGACAGTATACCTCCAAATACTCCATGGTGTTGATGGATGCTGATGAGACGGGCGCGTTCCAGGGCTCTCAAGTTTTGAAGACAGGTAAGAGTGACACCCAGCCGACGGGGGGTTGGATACATTTTTGTCATTGGTTGTTGCGTTAAATCTTACCCAGATACAATAGTGCTATTTTCTGATTGGCTATTGTGTAGCTCGACGAACAACACCAGAGGAAACGCGCTTGATTCATGCCGGTTCCACAGTGAGAGCGGCGCGGCCAGAGTTTTGGGCGCTGCGGCATATTAAATATATTACAAATAGTTTTTCAGCGTGAGAAATACAATGTGTGGCGGGAGAGCGTGACAAAAGACCGAAATGAGTGACTGTCACGCTCAATGCGTGACACTTGAGAGCCCTGGCGTTCACTGAAAATCTGGTGCACAACGCACTGACCAGAGCTGGCACTGACGAGCATGAACTGGGTGGGAGGGTATCCGTTGATAGTGGGGGAGGGGCATGAGAGTTGTAAACATTCAAAATTTTCCTAAATCCACTCAATCTGCCAGACTTGCCGACTGGAGCTTTAATAGGTAGGTGTGCTCTGAGGCTCCGCCTTCCTTTACATAAAAATCTTCTTTGGTTAATTTCTTCTGTTCAGTGCCTCAAGGTCGTAAGTCTGCGTGTGAAAACATGAACACACTGGAGAGCCAATTTGAATTATTTTTAGCTTTTAATCCACTCATGAACCATAGAAACCCTGCTGTATATTCAGGGTTTTTCCTGAGTCAGAAATGGTCTTCTTCGGTGGTGGCGGATGGGCACGGTCATCACACACACAGTATTCTGACTAACTTTAGCACATCTGATTGGCCATTGCATTCACACGCTCAACAGTTAGGTCTGTAATTAGCTACATTGCTTAACGCTGTCTGCAATAGAAACCTATTGATGGAACCTTTGATGGAAAATAGATATATAATAGTTTACAGAGCGCTTACACAAACACTCAAGGGAGTGTTTTAAAGCGTTTTAAAGCAGCCGGCTATCCACGAGTACTGATACTGCAGAATGGCAGGTATTGTTACATTAAATTATCAAAGATTAATTTTGGACTTGGAGCCCGCCGAAATATTTTCAAAGCATCACAACAGAAAACTAATACAGTATGGTCAATGTAATATCCACACAAGCTATATGAAATATATTGAACTATTTTTTCGGAAATAATATAAGTACTGTTTAATAGAGGTCGACCGATAGTGGAGTTTACCGATAACTAGTTTGGACCGACTTGCCGATAACTGATTAATCAACCGATCATTTTTAAAGTGGATAAAAAACAAACAACACTAAGTCAAACAGTGCTGAACTTTATTACAAAACCATGAAAATGTGCTAAATGAAATAAATATTTAAATAAGAATATATAAATTATAGATGTAAATAAAAGACATGCATTCAAACTGAAACAAAAAGTAACAGTAAGATGTATTAGTAAATGTTGAAATTAACACACAATGCTTCAATACGGCTGCAAAACAATACTTCTACAGCAGTTATTAACCTTAGTTAATGTTAAAAATAGAATCTTATTTGTAAAGTGTTACCATTCCATATAAATCCAAACTCATGCTTAAAGATGGCCATCTTTAAATATCTATGCAAAGGCCAGAGCACTGAAATTAGATAAATGTATATTGTATGTATAGTCTCTCACTTTATTTGCTTCTATTTTAGGATATTGTTTTGCAATATTTTAGAATGATTATCTAATCAAAATAACAAAATATGTATTGCAGTGATGATAAAAAAAAGAACTGAAATCAGATGTGTTTCTGATTCTTTAATGTTTTTGACGGCTGCATGAACAATTTGCTTTCTCACGTCACTAGCTTTAAATATGCTTTAGAATTAAACCTAAAAAAAGATAAAGAGCAATACTCTTCTTGATGTATGCTGCATTTTATTTAAGAAAATCGCTTTGTGTTAGTCATTCAGATTCAAAGGGATTCGTTTTAATCCCTTTCTGAATTCTGTTTTATTTAATGAAATAATGTCACACTGATTTTGAAATTGAAAAGCTTTGATGTGATGGGTTCACACGGCTCCATATAAAGCAATTTTTCATGAACCTTGTTTATAACGTGAGTGTTTTACAAATGATGACTCGTGGTACAAGTGTTCTTTTGGAAAACACTGATCTAGATGCGCTGTGAAGAGAAGCCTTAATCAAAGGAGTGCACGTAAAGCAGGTTTGTGTCTGGTTACCAAAAGGTTTATTGGAGGTATTTTGGTGTATGTTTTTCATTTTTACTGCTTCGCATTGGTGTAAAATGTTTTTTTTATCTTTTTTATTTGGCGACTATAAGTTTACTAAACGCCTATCTTCAGGTTAGTCTCCTGACTTTAGCATTGACCTAGTATATTACAGCAACTGTAATTTAAACTTTTTTTAACGTAAATGCCATTAGAGTTGGTAAGTTTGAATGATCTACATGAGTTCATACTCAGTTCATCATCACTTAAAACTGTCCATTTCAATCAATTCTTAATTTATAGTCATTGGGGCATTGGTATTGACTTGAATTTAGATTTTTATTTATTTAATAATATTATTTATATAATAATTATTTGAAAATTAAAATAATAAACAAAAAATGGCATATTTAACACTGTATTTTCTTCTTGTAGATGCAGCACTTAAAAACTCTTTAAAGAAAGTGCAGCCTCTGCACAAATATTTGTAGCATTATATAATAGGAAATGTCTTTCATTTGCACTGCTAATATTTTGAGTAAATCTGTTGTGTGAGGGCCAGAGAATCCGGAGTGACTTTCCTGTGCCGAGAGTTTAGTTGGTGTAAGGAAGATGTTTCAAGACCAGCGAACATAAACTCAAAGATTGAGGAGCTGTAAAGGACAAGCAAACAGATCCACTGTATGTATATGACATTCAGTCTTTACAGGGGAAATGTTTTCAAAGTCCTTTTATTTAAAAGAGTTGGTGGTTTTTGTCTATGGTGTAGTCATAAGACCACAGCAGCAGGAAGGGAAGGGAGGGAGAGGCGGAGACCAGAGAGCGACTGCTAGAGCTTTGTTGTGTTTGCAGTGTGTGTGAATTGAAGAGACGTTTGCTCTATGACAACCGGAGAAGGTAAGGATTGGAATGGAAATGGCGGCTTTAATGTGAAGGACAAATAAAAGAAATGCTGGGCACTAGCAGCCTTAAACCTCCAGCTGCTGTTCTGCCAAGAGGGTGGCATGTTTATCTGTGTTTTCGTGTTTACAGATGATTATGCTTCTAAAAATATACATATTTCTGAGTTCTGAATATTGTTTTGCGCCTGTTTCCGTTCTACATTTCAAAGCATTTTTTAAATGGAAAGGCAGTGTATCCGTAGATAGATGCTGTCATTTTGGAAGAATAAAACAACTCTTAGATTTTCATGGATTCAGATATGCATAAACTAGACTTGTCTTTTTTCGAACACTAAAGAAGACATCTCACTTCTAAATTAGTTTAATTTGTGTTTTATGCAGTCTGTTACAACTTGTCTCTTTGGTTTTTGTTGCAATGTATTAGCTAAATATAGCTGCATTACTGATGTGGATTTGCTCATTTTGACTACTAGTGTTGACTGCTATTTTATTTGTGCTTTTTTAATATTGTCCTATGCATCAAATGGATTTCTATGGCTGTTGCATCGTGTATCTCTCTTCTTCTTTTTTTTTACGTCTCACAGCAGTGTGTTGCATTTTTACTTAAAACATTAGACTAAAATAATGCCCAAATAGCTGTTTGGTTGTGGTTAACATTTATTTTCCCCCTGCCTTTATGATACTAGCCAAAAAATAAAGCCAATGCTTATTTTTGCCTTTGCAATAACATTTACTGACGATTCATGCACAATAAAAGACCAGGAAGTTGTATAAAAGATTTCGTGTTTACTTTAAATAAAGTGATCAGCAGATTGTTTTAAAGCAGAATCCACTGATAACACTCCATGATCTTATTTTAATACCAACTGACAGCATGTTTCCCTCTGAATACACAGTGATGCAACAGATCGAGGACTTGTGTTCTGTTCAGAACACAATACTTAATTTGTTCATCTTCAACAAAGTGCCCTGCTCCAACCTTTTGTTGTCACCTTAGCAATGCACACATACTGTTCCAACATAGTGCTGTCGGGACCTGTGAGAACGGGTTATGAGTTGCACATGCCTTATTGTAGTAGTGATGTCTAGGATGCCCTGTGTTATACTCCAGGACACACTGCAGGAATTGATGAAAAAGGTATATCTTCTTTAAATACATTATACAGTTGATATTGGGCCCAGAAGCAGAGTTTGAGAGTGAGATTAATGGATCAGGGCGTGCGTGCGTGTGTGTGTGTGTGTGTTCATGTCCTACAGCACTGTTATGTAAACATGTTGCTAGGGTTATGAGCTTTTTGTGCTGACATGCTCAAAGTCACTCTGACATGTTATGCGGTGTCATCGTCTCTGTCCAGTCAGCAGCTAAAGAAAGTTGTCATCTCGCCCAGTGGTGGGTACTGTTGTCACTTGGCACAGTTGCCACTTCAGTGGCCGTGAAAAACAACACAGATTTTTGACAGGTGTTTTCACGCGTCTATAAGCACCCCATATTTGTGTGGTAAACAAATGACAATATTTCAGGATTAAAACGTAGTTTGTCTTCAGTCGTATGTGAAAAATTGATTTAGGAGCTGGGGGAAGCTCTTGTTCAAAGTTGGCAGGTCATGCAGAAAATATTGTATCGTCCTTTCCTTTTCCATCTGAAATGACTAGGGGTGTAACGATACCCTCATGTCACGATTCGATACATATCACGATACTGAACTCACGATACGATATTATTGCGATACTCCAAGACATATGATAAAAGGTTAACAAAAAATGTACTGTTGATTAAAATGCTAACTTTGATATTACATTGTGGGTTTAAATGAATAGGATGGACTTGGTGCTTGTAACCAAAGGACAATGGTGACACCAGAATAAAAATATTCATGATTCTGAAGCTGAAAATACAGAATTATTTTAGACGAATATGCTTGCACTCTGTCACTGACTAGATATATTTAAAATAATGTAGGACTTTTTACTGGTAACATCAGACATTTGGCATTATCAGGACCCACAAATATTCCCCCATTGCATTATTATACATTATAATCAACATTATGTATAGTAGTTTAATGTAGTACTGACACTAAAACTCTGAAAAGTTGAATTTTTTTCTCACACAGTAATTTTTATTTTGGGGAAACTATCCACGATACATATTGTCACTATCCACGATACGTATTGTTGCATTTTTGTATTGCGATATATTGTGGCACGATATATTGTTACACCCCTAGAAATTTCTCATTTCTCAAATTCAAACCTTTGGTGGCGGGGAGATAAAGGCCAGTTTCAAGGGTTTCTCCGATTGAAAGGACGTTGAATTGATTAAATATTACAAGCTTGAAAACACTTAAGCAAGTGTGTGTTTTAGGGACGTTTTGTTCGAACCAATGCTGCTAAGGTTTGACTAGTTCTTTCATATTATTTCATTTGACATGTTGCCACTTTGATCTGCCACACAATCTTCAGGCGGGTATAAAACAGGGAAAAAAAAGTCTGATTAGCCATTTTTACTAAAGGAGACGTTCCTATTCAGTTGAATAAGAGCTCGCTGTTACACTGATTTGCACAGCTGTTTTATGATGCACCGTTTCATTTTCTAGGCCAATTAAGCGAGTTACGGAGCATGTTGAGTCGGTAGCGGCCTGCTTCTGATGCATCTCAAATCAAAGCAAATTGTTATCAATATCATTGAGTGAAATAATAAAATACCTAGCTACTTGAGCTCCAACAAAACCGTTGATATCAGAGTGAAGGATGTCTTTGTGACATTTTTGACTGTGTCAATGGCTATCTGCCCACATGCATTGCTGTGTTATGAAAGATGCCTTTTGTGGACATCCGCTGTCTTCAGATGTTTGATGCACATACACATGTTCTGTTGTCCCTACAACCCACCAATGATATTGGGCTGTATTTTTCATCAGTCAGCAAGCATACCTCTCAGTAGGCATTCCAATGGGTTTAATTAGAGCACACTGCAACTGCCTTCCTCCGCCCACAGTGGCTCTCTCTAAATGACATTTCTCAGCTAAATGCTTAAAAAAAAACAGCAATCTGCTTATTTCCTTTTGCATGCATGTGCATTGGTTTGACACATGTTGCACTCTTAATCATTGATCAAATGGTTAAAATTAAATAATTTATAAAAATCTTTTTTTTTTTTTTGGCTTAGAGAAGAGAAAATCTTGGCACGAGTCTAAAATATCCATCTTTAGGAGAATTATCAGAGGTGGTTTATAAAAGGGGATTTTGTGCCATTGTCAAACAGTGTCTCCTCTGCCATCATGAGCACAAAAACAGAGGCCACCCTGTGAAGAGACCAATCCAAGTCTGCTTAGAACAAAAAATATCAATTGAAAGTTTTCTTCCCTTGCTCTGACTGTCTCGTCTGACTGTCTCGGTTTGTTTTGACTGGTTTGTTTGCACTGTGCTCTGCAGGCTTGTCAGGATTATTACATAATTGTCCCTTTGTGGTTATTTGATTTAATCCTTGCGCACACTCCCAATCACATTGCCATCCAAATATGTGAACACTAGAAATGCTATGGAAAATGCTTTCAAATTAGAGCATGAAATAAACCAAATTGCATAATATATATATGCTAATGTTCTATATAATATTCAACAAAAATATATCAAATATATTACAGTAATATAATATTAAAGTAACTGGGTTCAAACAACATTATGAATGGAAAATAGACTGAATTGTTTTTTTTTATATAATTTATAATACTTTTTTAATTCCGATATGTGCATTAATTATCCAATATTCATTCTTTTAGGATATCATGTATTTTATTGTTGTTTATAGTTTAGTGTGAATAAATGACTTATTAATGATCATGTGTATAAGCTGAACCAATTTATTTATCTGTATGTCATTTAATTGTTAAACCAAATTGCAGGACAGCACTAGTGCTCTGGAAGAATCAGGCAGCAGCATAGATTCATCCTGTAGCTCCTTCCCGTTCAGAAAGATTGGTGTGCCACCCCTTCCTCTCAGACTGTTGGAATGTGTCCATGTCCTCTCATTTGTTTCTTCGGCTTATGTCCTGAGTCGAGTCCCTTGCAGTAGATTAATCTATGAATTTTCTTGTAATTTTCTGAACTATAACCTGCTTTAGACATCACTCAAGAATGGTTGCTGCCATGTTTGAACACTAAAAATGGTCTTTGGCTTGGTCTTGCGGTATGAGGAAAAGCCTTGGTCTTCATTCCACATATTTGCTCTGAAGATGGGGAATTATTATAATCAAAAGATGCAGGTTGGCGTAATGTTATGATAATGAATGTGACAAATTAGTGGTAATTGGTGATGAAATATTGACCCAGGGAGAAAAGGGAGGGAAATGTAAATGTAAGCCATCCCTTGTGTTCTCAGGAAGAGAGTATTTCCTGTGGTGTTCCTTGTGTGCTCTTCCAGATAAGATTAATCAGCTTGTCATATGTGTTACCATCTGATACACTTGTGTATCCTTCTGAATGAGCCCGAAACACATCCAACTAGTTATTCAGACAAACCATAATTCGATTTCAAGAACATACTTTTGAAACTCCCTCGTCATTGGTTGCTGCAGTTTCAGAGCAGATTGATGATGACCTGGCTTCTTGATTAAGAGTACAGCAGTGAACATATTTGATGAAACATTGATCAATGTTTCTTGTGTTCCCTACAGATAAGAACTTTGATGACGAAGACTCTGTGGATGGGGGCAGGTCCTCCTCCTCTACCTCTTCTAAGGGCTTCTCCAGCAGCAGGAGAGGGGGCAGCATGGGCTCGATGAGACGACCCAGTTCTGCCTCTGGATCCAGGGCTACAGGTAAGAAGACCACAGCTACTACTGCACAGCCCAAAGTTACAACTGAGAAGCTGAAGTCAGATCAGAGTAAACACTGTAGACATCCATAAATACTTCACATGAACATGTTGAACAAGGAGAAATCTAATTGTTCTCAGAAAGATTATCTTTTGAAAAGCTTGTAGTTTACCAGGGTGAGAGGAGAAGAGATATTGAGAAATGACTGGAGATTAATAAGGACTCTGTTGGCTGGCCAAAAGGCAACACTGCAGATTTCTATATTATGTAATAGTCTTTGATGTATTAAACTCAGATTTTCATGTGACTTGCATGGTGGTTTTAAATAGAAGGCATATACTGTATGTATTTAAATCCATCATGAAGTCACTTGAAAATCTCAGTTTAAAACATTATATGTATATATATATGTGTGTGTATGTATGTATGTGTGTGCATATGTATATAAAATAAATGCTGTCAACCGATTAAAAAAATTAATCGCACATTTTTCTGTAATTTTTTTCCTAAATTTTAGCCATTAATTATAGTCATTCAACTTTACAGTATAATTGACAGCTATCAATTTTAACATTTAATAGGTTTAAAAAATATATAACTTATAATAAGAAAGTGAAGTGAAGGCCAGGTATGGCAACCCATACTCGGAATTTACCCTCTGCATTTAACCCATCCAAGTAATAAGCCCATATATGTGTGCATTAATTTTACATTACTGATATATATAATGTTGTTTATTTTGAAAGAAATTATAACTTTTATTCAGCTAGGATGCGTAAAATTTATCAAAAGCGATACGTGTAATTATACAAAATATTTGTTTCAAATAAATCTGTTTTTTTCATCAAAATATATCACAGCTTCCAGAATAAGAATGATTTCTGAAGGATCATGTGACACTGAAGACTGGAGAATTGCTGCTGAAAATTTAGCTTTGCCATCACAGGAATAAAATACATATGAAAATATATTAAAATGGTTATTTTAATTTGTAATAAAAAATTTCAGTATTAATATTTTTCCTGTGATTTTAATTTGATTAAATTACAATGTTTTTTTAAATATAATTTTGTGATTGCAATCCCTCAGGGAAGGACAGTGTCAGTGCAGGAGGTGTGGATGAAGAGGATTTTATCAAAGGTTTTGAAGATGTACCTGCAGTGCAGGTAATGTATCTTAAATGGGCAGTATCATGCAATTTATCATGGATTCCTTGAATTTAAATATTCAAAGCAAGACATATATGTTGTATGTTTTCAGATATATTCCAGTAAGGATTTGGAGGACTCTTTGAATAAGATCCGAGAAATTTTGTCAGATGACAAGCAAGACTGGGAGCACCGCATCACTGCTGTAAGTCGCTGATTAGTTTCACCACTTCTTTTGTCCACAATACATGTACTCCAGCTTGAATAACTTGTCTTCGGCGTGGCACTGAATAAACTCTTATATCATGTATTTAGCTGAAGAAAGTGCGGTCACTGGTTCTGGCTGGTGCAACTGAGCATGAGGGTTTCCTTCAACATCTACGTCTTTTAGAAGGTGCCTTCAAGATGTCAGCTAAAGATCTTCGGTCACAAGTGGTTCGAGAGGCCTGTATCACGTTCGGGTATGAAGCCCACTCTTCTCTACCATTTTCTCTTCCAGTCTCTATGTTGTTGTTGTTGTTGTTTTTTAAATATAGCTTTCAAGTGTGATATCCACTACCAATATCGACTTGTTAAGAGTCAGCTAGAAGGTGCCAACTTTAGATGTTCATTGATCAAAGACACACTTCAGCAGCAGGGCAATTTTTCACAAATCAGTCTTAAAGGCACTTAATCTTACTCCGATACATGTTCTATCTCAAATATCATCGGGATACAGCGTTAAAAAGTGCTGTTTTAGGGGTAAATGAAGCTGTTGTGCGGGTCTCTGTGATTGAGCATGACTCAATGTCGGTATTTAATTATTCTGGGTCGTAATGTGTTTCTAATGAAGTGGAACTGAGCTAACTGGAGCGTGCACGACAGCTCTTCTGCTAAAGTGCAGCCACTTGATGGATATCTAAACAAGTTCCATGCCTTAATGTCACACAAATTTGATTCATTTCCATCTAGACCTGAAATTTACGTATCTTATATTTGTGTCTTGTTTATTGGTGGTTTTTGCTGTCTCTCAGGCATCTGTCTTCAGTGTTGGGGAATAAATTCGATCACGGGGCTGAAAGCATTATGCCTACGCTGCTCAACCTGGTGCCCAACAGCGCCAAAGTTATGGCCACATCCGGAATGGCAGCCATCCGCATCATCTTACGAGTGAGTTCTGATGATTTTCTTTTTACTTTTTCACATGTATTTATACATTAAGAGTCCATTCTGGGATTAAATTAAAAGAGTGACACAATAATTCTGTTCCAAAACCTACTGAACTGCCTTGCTGTCTACTGTTTACATAGGCAGCTACCCTCAAAGGCAGCATCCTAACTCATTTTGAACCTCATAAGAACCTCAATTGAATTGGGATGCTCTAAATGGGGAGCAACTTCACACATAGCAAAGTTACAAAACGAATTGCTTGACACTACTCACATTTGGAGACTAGCACTGCACATGTTCCTCACTATATTAGCTTTAATGAGGCTTCAGGCTTTTTGTGATTTACACTACCTTTCAAACTTTTGGGGTCAGTAAGATTTTTTTTAGTTAAATTAAGACTTTTTAGCAAGGACATATTAATTTGATCAAAAGTGACAGTCAGGACATTTATAATAAGTTATGCTTTTTTATAATAATACGTTTTTACAATATTAACTTTTTTTTTTAACTGTATTAAATAAATGCAGCCTTGGTGAAAACTTCTTATAAAAAAAAAACATGTTACGACCCCAAATGTTTGAAGAGTAGTGTATTTGTTCTATTCTATGTTTTAATTCTGTGTTTAATATTCTAGCACCAAGATTTATAATTGTGCTTTTTGTCTTTCTCAGCATACACACTTCCCACGCCTTATCCCGATCATCACCAGCAATTGCACTTCTAAATCTGTGGCTGTTCGAAGGTAAACTAGACCTCCCTGAGAGATCTCTTTAAAAAAATATTTTTTTTTTTTTTGCAGAGCATACATTAGAAAGGCATTGTCTTCTAATAGAAATACTTGTTCATTTTCTCCCCATCAGACGGTGTTATGAGTTTTTAGACCTGTTATTGCAAGAATGGCAGACACATACTCTAGAGAGGTGAGTGGAAAATGATTGATGATAGTGTGTTGAGAATTAAGATATTAGTTTTTTGTAAAGTGCTTTTTGCTCAGGATGTATCTCATAGAACTTGGTACATGCATGAATTTCTGTTTATTCCTTATGCTGCCAAGCAGTCACCCCCCTCCCTTTCCTGTTTTTGTGACATTTAACTGGTGAAAACGTGTTACTTATCAAAGCTCGGCTGAACGGGCAACTGATGATTCTTTTCGCGTGTTGAATTGATGAGCCAGGGATGTGTGGCAACCATGCGTCCCAGCCGTTTCCATGGCAATATAGCCAAGAGCTCTTTTATAAGGAGGTCTGGACTCCCCTTATCCTCTCTTTCCCACTGTTCTGCCTTTAGAGAACTGGGAAAAAAGGTCTGCCGTCTGGTCCAGAAAGTTTCAAAGGAGACTCAGTGAATTCACTGTTGGTTCTGCAGACTGTAAGAAACTGTATTCATCATGTTTCCTTACTACCCTAGGCATGTGGCGGTTCTCACTGAGACCATCAAGAAGGGGATCCATGATGCTGACTCTGAGGCCAGATCTGTGGCCAGAAAGTAAGTCTGTTTGCCTTTTCTTTTGTATATTTGGAGTCCTTGGTTAGATGTTGCATGATCAATACTTCATTGAGATATTATATATGGGGCGGCAGTGGCTCAGTGGTTCATGTAGGTTGTCTACAAACCGAACGGTTGGTGGTTCAATCCCCGGTTCCACCTGACCAAGTGTCGAGGTGTCCATGAGCAAGACACCTAACCCCAGCTGCTCCCGACGAGCTGGATGGCGCCTTGCATGGCTGACACCGCCGTCGGTGTATGAATGAGTGTATGAATGGGTGAATGTGAGGCAAAAATGTAAAGCGCTTTGGTGGCCATTGGGTCTGTGAAAGCGCTATATAAATGCAGTCCATATTAATGTATGTGCTTTTAATAGTGCATTTTAACATTTGTATCAGTCTAGATCATTTTCATGGTTTTGTTTAAGAGGTTGTCCATTTGTTCTATAGGTGTTATTGGGGATTCCATGGCCATTACAGTCGGGAGGCAGAGCACCTGTTTCAGGCGTTGGAATCGACCTATCAGAAGGCCCTACAGTCCCATCTGAAGAGTTCTGACAGTATAGTGTCTTTACCGCAGTCCGACCGCTCCTCCTCAAGCTCGCAGGAGAGCCTCAAGTAAGACATGCACACATTTCGCTTAGAATCCTGAAAAAATCTATCTCAGATTCCACAAAAATATTAAGCAGCACAACTGTTTTCAACACTGATAATAATAATAAGAAATGTTTCTTGAGCACCAAATCAGCATATTAGAATGATTTCTGAAGGATAAACTGTAACTGAAAACTGGAATAATGATTGCTTTGCCGTCATAGGAATAAATTAAAATTTAAAATATATTAAAATAGAGAACAGTAGTTTTTTTATTAATAATATTTTACAATCTTTTTACATTTTTGCTGTTTTTTTGTTGTATATTTGATTAAATAAATGCAGCGAGCCTAAGAGACTTCTATCAAAAACATTTAGCAAATTTTACCGACCCTAGTCTTTCGAACGGTGGTGAATAACCATACAGTTCCGTGATTGTAGACGATAACATTGTCTCTGTGATATTTGCCAGCTCATGCTATCAAAAACTGTGAGTTATGGCTGTCCCTGTTGAAGTTGGTGAAATATTTGCCAGCTGGCTGATGGACCATGTGCCCAGATTGATGATTGTGTTTCCTAGCATGTTGAGTCTTTTCTTAATATGAAGCAGTGATCTCATCTTCAATATTAGACTGCAGCATCTGTTACATTTTCTCCCTGTTGAGCAGAGGCAGTGAGATCATCTTGAATTAGCACCAGTGTGATGAGTGACAGCTCTAATAGTCTCAATCTGCTATCGGCTTTTGTACACAAAAGCAGAAACACTGCTGTGTACTGGTAACAAAAATTGTTAAAAAAAAGGTGTTACAAGCAAATTAACATTGTCATTTCAATGTGATTTATTATTTGCAGATGGTATATATTTATTTACAGATAGGGTTACTAGATAAATTGAATATTTACACTAAATTCACACTCGCTGACAATATAAAATGAAGTTTACATATTCTGATTGTAGATTTAAGGCTCTTTTTAATTGGTGAAGGATTTACTTTAAAAACACTATTCACTCATAAATTGCTTGTAAATTTCACAAATAATTACAATGAAACAGCAAGTAACACATTGAATTAAACATGAAATTCTGAAGTAGTAAGACTGAAATAATATTTTCTTATAAACAATACAATCTCAATAAAACAATACTGTTTTATTTACTTTGAAAAATACATTTTTACAGTGTTGTAGCAGAGTTGAGTCGGTTCAAACTGTCCAAATTTTGTAAAATGTTTTTGAAAATATGATTATGTAAATAATATTACTCATGAAATGAAAATTATTCTTCCTCTGTAAAAATCTAGTAAAAAAAAAATTGGTTTTCCACACTTTTTTTTTTTACTGTGTTGTATTTGGAAATCTCCTTGGCAAAAATATTGAGAAATATATAAAAATTGTCAGTAGACTTAGAAAATAGTGAACAAAATATTTATCAGTAATTTTAAATACATATTTTTCAGTGTTCTGCTGTTGCTAAAAATCTTTCTATCTACTTTCCTGCAGTCGACCGATGTCAGTGAAGAGTGTTATTGGAGGCCCCGTTACAAGAAGTAAGTAAAGCAACACTTTATTTTTTACTGGTACTTAGCACATTTACAAACATGCCATTTTGCCATGTCTGTAACTCTTGTCTGTGTAATGTTTCCTCAGGTAAAGTGATCAGCTCTAGGGTGTCCTCAACCCCTGGTGCCCTCCAGCGTTCCCGCAGCGACGTAGACGTGAACGCAGCCTCCAGTGCCAAATCCCGCATGTCCACCGCAACCTCCCCATCTCCCTTCAGCTCTGCTGCAGCCTTGCCTCCAGGCTCCTACGCCTCCCTGGGTAAGACCTCATCACACTCTATCCATCTTTTCTCCTCTTTCATCCTTAATTAGGAATTTTAATAAAATAGCCATAAAAATCAGTGGCTTTTATGGCTGCAGCGGCCCATTAATAAAACTGATGGGCACCATAGATGCTATTAAGCTGCTCTGTGATGAGGAACAAACGACGGATATTCTACCATTTATTATCCTTTAAGTTTTTTTTTTTTTAGAAAGTTTAGTGTAGTTTTTTTTAGGAGGGAGAATAAAATAATTTTAGAAAATGCATCGTTCTGGCTCTAAATTCTGATCGGTTAAGCTACTTTCAAAGACAATGTGTTTGAAACTACTTACTTGCTGGAATAACAGTATTATTATTAATAATAAAATGTATTATTTATACAACGTGTTTATAAATCCTTTTTTTCATTTATTGTAATAAATATTTTGGAATCATAGTGTTCCATTTTCTAAAAGCAATAAGTCGCACATTTTAAACTGTAGTGTAAAATCACTGTCAAAAGTCTTATGTTGCTTAAGTTGTATTTTGGTTTTCTCAGTGTTAGTTTTTCAGCAGAAGACAGAAGAGAATGTTGGAGCTTTAACGCATCCACCTAACTTTTGACCACTAACTTGTCTGTTACTTTTGTCTGTATAATCTTCTTTCTGTACTGTTTTCTAATCCCATGATTCCTCATAAATGATCAAAGAGATTTTATTTCCTTACCCACAGTCACACTCAGTAGCTCCCGTGTGCTTCCATGCAAGGCCCGTTTCTGAGCAGATCCCTGTCTTCCACGCTTCCATGGGCTTAACTGACTCTAATCTCTGCCTCTTATGCCTCTCCTCTCCTCCACCCTGCACTCCCCTGCTTTTGTTTTTGTGTTTTTGCCCCAAAGACGGTGCACCTGGTAAAATAGATGGTAAGCTGTATATGTATATGTGTGTGTGTGCGTGTGAATGTCTACCCTTTGTGCTGTCCGAGGGATTCGAGCAGTGTTCTTTTGATGATTAACAACTGTACATCTGCCAATCTGACTATTCTAGTGGTCTGCATGACCCGTTTGCATGATATATCCCCTCCTCTCCTATTCACAGTAAATAACAGTAGTTCAGTGAAATGAAAATGGTCATTTGTACTTGATATGATCTGTAATGTGTCATTTGTACCTTGGAGAAAAAAAAGTGCTAAAAGTCTAGGAACCATGTATACAGATGGTGGTATTGGTCTAGTTTATGGTTATAGAAACAGGATACAAAATAGCCGCTTTGCACAGCTTCATACTGGAACTTTGTGTCAAAACAAGATCAAACCAATTTTTTATTTGATTTAATTGACCTTAAGTACACTACTGTTCAAAATTTGGGGCTCATAAGATTTAGAGAAAAAAAAGTTTTTAAAAGAGGTCTCATGCTCACCAAGGCTGCATTTATTTGGTTGAAGAAGAAAAAATGGTTGAAATAGTTGAAATAATTTATAGAAACTGTTTTCTATTTGAATATATTTTAAAATGGGATTTATTCTTGTGATTTGCTAAGCAGAGTTCTCCAGAAATCATTCTAATATGCTGATTTGGTGCTGAAGAAACATTTTTTATTATTAGCAATGTTGAAAACAGTTGTGCTGCTTAGTATTTTTTGTAAACCATTATTAAAAAAATCAGGATTCTTTGATGAAGGGAAAGTTCAACATAATACATAATTAACATAATTGCAATATTATAAATGTCTTTATTGTCGAACAAAAGTGTATATATATATATATAAACATGTTTCCCAGGCTGTTGTTGAAAATAAGAACTTGTTCTTAAGTGATTTGTCTGGTTAATTAAAATATATATAGACCTCAAACTTTTAAACGATAGTGTATGCTTTGATTAGATCCGTCTGCTCAAAACCCAATAATGTTATCTGTTGCATATATTTGAACATCAGTCATCTCAGTACAGCATGTCATGTAATTCCTTTCAGTCAGTATATTATCATCAGGGAAACCTCTTTGTTTGTCTTTAGTATCCCTGTCCTTTTATTGTTGTCGTTAAACCTCACTTTGTGTCACTCACTCTAAATCTCACCCTTCCTCTCATGCATTTTGTATCGCTTCATCTCACGCTGTTTTTTTTTTAAACCTCCAGGTCGAGTGCGGACGAGAAGGCAGAGCTCAGGGAGTGCAGTCAACACCAATAGCACGGTGACAGACAGCCGAGGTCGAAGCAGAGCTAAAGTGGTGTCTCAGTCCCAGCGTAAGTGTCTCTGTAGGGCCTTGATCCCATCCTTCACTTGTTACACCCAACAAAATATTTAAGCATGGTATGATTTATAAACTACCAGGGTTTTGCTTTGTTTTATGAAAACCTTTACTGTAATATTGTGCATATATGTTGCAATATTAATGTTTGTTAATGAAATTTTACCGCTAAACTGTATTTGACAACCCAGACAACCAATTTGCTAAATTCAACTATGCTAGTTCCATGTTTCCCATATCACTTCACAGCGTCTTTCTTTTCACATAATAACATTTTCAATACAAATATGGCATTATAATAATGATAATAAACATATTAAACATACATTAAACATATTCTTTAAATAATTTTATATATGACAATCAATCATCATTGAGAACATCGTCACATGTTAATGTGGAACACATGATAATTGAATGGGAAAATGTGCTTAAGGTTCATGAAAAAAAAAAAAAAAAAATGTAATCATAATGCTCCTAAAAACAGGCTGTCATTTTATTTATTTTTTCGTGGTGAAATGATACCTGGACATGTTTTACCTGCCTAGGGTCACTAGAGTTTGAGCAGCTTTGATACTTAACCATTGGTCTGCCACCACTATCATCTTCCTTTTTGACTTTGTTTTTAATGTTTTCACATCCCAGTTTGGCATCCTGCTGAACATGGAGTTTATTCCACAATTATAGTTGAAGCCACTCTTTGGCATTAAATGTGTAGATTTAATTTGCTAGAGCACGAATAAACGCCATCTTGCCTGATGCATGCTGGGTAACCATGCGTCACATCAAGCGTCTATTGTAACTGGCTAATTTTCACCTGTCCGTTGCCTCGGCTCCATACACAAGGATCCAGATCAGCTAACCCCACTAGTGGTAAGCCCCCCCTCCTCAGAATAAAGCTGCTTTAATACCCTCAACATGAACCCTGCATGAGTCACACGTATACCATCATGTTGCATGTTCTTCTCTAGTGTAATCTTACTTTTCTTTCTGTTCAAATAGAGATCAGACATGATATGATAGTTGGGTATTTGTTCTTGCTTTGATGTCTGTCTGTAAATGTTTGCAAGGTGTCTGCTGCTCATAGTATGTCACGTTACCATGCCTGTGGAGATTGTTTTCCCTGCAGCTCGAATAGACCTTGGATCCAAGCTCACCCTGTTTGTCCGTCTTTGTGTTTGTCTGTATCAGAGTAGAGCTCTCTTCTTCATATATTTGCATACACATATTTAATTTTTCTTTGAGATGATTTTGTTCACCTAAACTTAAGCTTTTGCTTGTAAAACGGGCCATGTGAGTGAAAATTTTTTTCAATGATGACTATAAGCTTTCCTTTAGTTTACTTTTCACACCATTGTTTGGCAAATACTATTTTTCTATAAAGTAGATTTTTGTTTTGTGCTATTTTATATTATTTCTTTAGTTTACAAGTTTTGGAAGAATTAATCTGATCATGAATGCCTTGAATTTTGATTATCAAAATCAACAGAACATTGAGGGGTGAATTTAAACACTAAATGGAATGGAAAAAACAGGTGGATTTAAAAAAATACTAAAACATTTTAATGTATACTGCCATTCAAAATTTTGGACTCTAACCCTAAGATTTTTAAATGTTTTTTACAGAATTTGTTTATTTGTACCAAGTCTGCATTTATTTGATCAAATATATAGTTATAACTATGTATTATTAAATATTATTACAATTTAAAACTGTTTTCTATTTGAATATATTTTAAAATGTAACTTATTTCTGTGATGACAAAGCTGAATATTCAGAAGCCATTACTCCACTCTTCAATGTCAAATGATCCCTCAGTGATTCTTTGAAAATATTTTTTGCAGGATTCTTTGATGAATTAAAAGTTCAAACAGCATTTATTTGAAATAGAAATCTTTTGTAGCATTATAAAAGCCTTTACTGTCACTTGATAAATGTAGTCCTTCCTTGCTAAATAAGTTTCTTTAATATATATATATATATATATATACCCCAAACTTTTCTTGCAATCATAGTAACATTAATTCCTTATATAATGGAAAACAACATTATAAACAGCACATACACATTTCCACAGTTTAGTGAAGCTCACTTTGTATATTAAAGAGATGATTCAGTGTCTTATCAAAAAAAGGTGCCTTATTTCATTTTACCTTTTTAATTATGAGGGGAACCACTGGCATTTGGTAGCTAACCATTCACCATGTTACTTACAACAGCCCTGGTCTCACTTCCCTTTGCAGCCGGCAGCCGATCCAGCTCTCCAGGGAAGCTCTTGGGACACGCATATGGCAGAATTCCTAGAGCCACTGCCCCAACAACACCCTCAGAAAAGTACTCTAGGGTCCCACGAAGCCAAGGGTGCAGCCGTGAAACCAGCCCCAACAGACTGGGCCTAGGTAGGGACAACATATTCGTCATCAGCAAATCACATCACGTCATCGGCATATATAAAACAACTTGATTCTGGAACTCAAGTGGACCTAAATTGGTTCCTTGAGAAATCCCTTTAGAGTATGCATTACAACATGGAGATTTTTTGGAAAAGGACCTTGTGGTAATTATAGATGGTAGGATTTTTCAACTTTAATTTCCTGAATCATTGTTCACTGCAAATCCCATTTGATTTGACTAGTGCACTAGTTTGGTGTGTGAATGAAGCTCAGCATTCATTTAATTGGCTGATGCAAGTGTTTATGCCAAAACTGACTCAGTGGCTAATCATTGCTGTTTTTTGCATGTTATTCATTTACCTGTTGTTAAATGATGACAGGGCTGACTAACGGCTTCCATTCCTCATAGCTTTTCTGGCTGTGTTTTGAGGTCATTGTGTTTGTCACTTTTTTTTCTGAGAAATGTTTGTGTGAGTCCTGCCTTTTTAAAGATCTGACCAAAAATGTCCAGCCAATTATTTAAGCTCATTAAATTTAACAGTAAGTGATTTTTCTATAAAACAAGAAAAAAAGTCCATTTGTATATACAAAACTTAGTATATATATATATATATATTTTTTTTTTAATGCCTCAAAAGTTTATAAGAATGCTTTTAAGCTAAATGCAGTCTTTTTGTGTGTATGTTTTATATAAAGGTGCACCAAGCAATTACACCTAAAATTTAATAGTACTTTATTTATATATGTTGAGATGAATATTCAAGTCATATCCGTGGTGTAAAAAAGCTTCTTGAAGTGTGACAACGATTAGCAGTGACAAAGTGAACAAAATTAATTTGATTTCAGTTAGACATAATGAGTTGAGGTGACCATTATCAATATATTTAGTCACATGACAACACACATGAAAGTTGACAAAAGTTTAACTTTATGCAAAAGAACAGTGATGCGATACAGCAACTACCAATCAGAATTAAGACATTGCAGCACACTCATCACCTGTCAGAAACTGTAGCCGAGTGAATGTAAGAGGGATACATATATTATACAGTACATGCAGAGATATAATTTTTCAAAAGTGATGCATGGAATCCAGTGTCAGAAATTGTCAGTGTTGATTCATGAGAGCTTGATTCATGCATTAAACATTGCTAAATTTTATATACAAACTCCAAATGTAAAATTTATAGAAGCAAGAGAAGTGATTTATTGTCCTATAATCTGTAAAAAAAAAAAAAAAACTCTCCATACGCAAAATTACTTGGTGCACCTTTAAAGCTGTATGTTCAGAAACTCCCTAAATGTTGTCTGAATCGAATTCAAAATGTTCAGCTTAAGCCTTGTACTTTAAACGTTTAACCTTTCTAAAGCAGAAGGACCCTAGGAGTGGCCAACCCAACCCTTCCTTTCTCTGACTCCACGGCCTCACTAATGCCCTAACCTGTGTTCTAACAGCCAGGCTGTGTGGTAAAGCTCTTCTTCCTGCCACTTCTCCCTATCGCACGCTAGCCCGGAGCAGTCGCATCCCCCGCCCCAGCATGAGTCAGGGGTGCAGCCGTGACACTAGTCGCGAGAGCAGCCGCGACACCAGCCCCGCTCGGGGCTTCACTCCTATTGGTGAGTAGAGCGCTTAAGTGGCTGATGGAGCCCAAACGACAACAGCAACCCATTGCGTTATTACAAAACTTTTCCCTTGAATTTTATTTGGCCTAATTTAAAGATGGTATTCCTAATATGTGGGATATGAAATTGTTTGCTTTGCTTGCCTCAATGCATGCACTAATATGTTCTCAAAGTGCTGTAATAATATGTGCTGCTTTTTCTTTGATTTGTAAATACATCCAGTGGATGTTTTGTTGGTTTGTCCTTAAAAAAAAATCGATTTATGTGGCATTGTGGATGAAAACAACTGGTCTGATCTTTAAAATAATTTTCAGGGAGGATTTCTACAACTAAAATGAAAACTGAAAATATAAAAATAAAAGCGACTTCAAATATTTATAAATGCAAATTATGCTAAACTGAATGTAATGCATAGCATATTGCATTGTTTATTCATTGCTTATCCACATGGAGACTGATAAGTCTATGGTCTGTTTCACACTATATATATATATATATATATATATACAGTATATATATAGTCAACATGTAAACTGTGGCATTTTGGATATTTGGTGTCAATGCCACAGATGGTGCTCAGTGTTTCAGTGTAGCACTAACCGTTCCTGGGGTGTTACCCTTCTTCCTGTCCCCTTGCAGCCTCCCGACGTCACTCTCGCTCAACCAGCGCGTTGTCCACGGCTGAACCCGTGGGCCAGTCAGGTGACCTGCATGAACCCTCACTCCCCTGGCCCCAGACAGGGCCAATCACCAGCATGCCTTAATACTTTACTTTTTTGAAAGTAATACTGGCAACTGGGAACCACTTCACGTCACTGATAGATTTAGATGTGAATTATCTGTTCATTTGTGAAATTATATTTCCAGTGTCTTTGTCTTAAGTGACGTGTTATGTTTTTCTCACCATAAACTTCAGCATCCATCCTAGCTGAGGTTATTTTATTTGCGTTTCCATTCGGTTAGTGGACGTGTGTTTGCCAAAATCCACTTTAGTTCTCTGCTTCGTATATTAGGTTTTGTGTACTTCCCATTTGCAATTATTTATTTTTTATATATATTTTTTTTTTTTACACTTTTGCATTGGTGTTATTGCTGGTATTAAATTTAAAATGGGTATTTTGCTTGGCATTTTGTGCTCTGAGCATCATAGAGGTTCAGTGTATTTTTTAGATTGTTTGAATTCAATCATTGTTTTGCCGGACCAAAAATTCACACACATTGGCATTTCCTTTTTTTAAGAAGCTGCTTTATTATCAGTCAAATCAGTGTGTGGTTTTTGGGGGGGAGGGTTTTGTGCGCATAATCTTACTTTTGATCATTGTAGCTTTACAGGTGAAATGTGTCATTTCTAGGCCACTGGTGCCACTAAAAAGAATTTCAGTCTGTTTGTTTGAGCGACCCAACTTGGGCAAACATGATAACATCAGTTTGGGATGGGATTTTCTGATTGGCAAACTAATGGTGTATGTGGGGAGTGTTGTAAATTCTGAAATTACACACTTCACCTTTAACTTTTTAAGTTTTTAAGCAACCGTAATACTTTTTCTGTCCTTTCTGGGCTTGTGTCATATTATGTGTTGGGTTGTATCAGACTGTCTTTATTTTCTCAAAATTCTCTCAACAACTCTACATGTCATCCTAAAGTTTTGTTTATGAGATATTAGTCTACTTGGTTGAACAATATGTTAATGACCTGACTTTAAGATGATGTCGTAGAAGAAGGTAAGAATTTGCTTACCCGCCATTGCCCATCCTCACTATATAATTCTGTGTTCAAACCCCACAGATCGCTTTGGCCTGATCCATCAGGCTCGTATTTCTGCATCTGTCAATGCTATGAGGGTCCTGAACACTGGCACGGAAGTGGAGGCTGCCGTAGCTGATGCTTTGGTAAGAATCATGGTCCTCACTCAAAGACATGATTATGATTACCTGAAATATGTGTCATTATCTCATCTAGGATAACAGGAGTAATGCTTCTGTATGACTCAAACTATTTGTTATATGTGTCCCTAAAAACACCCACAGAAAAATATGGAATATTAGGAAGAGCTTTAAAATGAGTAGTGTTCTTTGGGGTATTCTGGGTTTTAATTCATATTAAAATATTAAGCTAGAATTAATATTAAAATGTATATTCTAAACAATATTAAAAAATATATATTTTAAATTAAATATAAAATATATGTATTCAAATATTGAGCTTCATAGAGACAGGACCTAAACAGATCGTTACTGACAGACGAAAGAGGTGTTGCAACAATGTTAAATATGTGAACAACATGCATGAATATATATATTTTTTTTGAACATTCAAGATTGAAACCATATTCTAGTTGAAAAAGCAAAAACAAATCAAGACTTTGTAAAAGGGCATAATATGACCTCTTTAAATATAATTCTTCCTTGTGTTTATTCAGTGAAAAAATAGTAAGGTAAATAGTATAGTAAGGTAAAGTACATTTTAATTTTTATGTGCTTATGTGTCCAGCTATCCAGCTATATTTCATATTGTGTCTTTTCTGCTACAAATTTGCTCCCTTTGAAATGTCTGCGTCTCTTTGCTCTTCCTTTCTTGGTTGTCTTCAGCTGTTAGGGGACTCCAGGAATAAGGTAGTTCTTCAGTTTATTTACTGCTTGTGCTTCCATTTTTATTCACTAATCAGAATGACTTATACCATCGTGGTCTGTCAGGCAAATATCAAGAGCATTTTGTGCACCACAAACATTTGCATGTCTTTCATTAATTTGGTCAATGACCATTTCATCTGCACATCTCATCATTTCCTGCACAACCACCATAAGATTCATTTCATTTATTTTGCTATCAATTTGGTATTAATCTCTTCAATTTATTATCTGTATAAGTCACCCAGTGTTATTGACTTGGAAAATGTATATCATCATTAATTCACATGTGACAACACCGCAGGATTAAGTTGTAAACATGGCAGATGTTATCCATCAGCGTGACACATCCCTTTTGCTACATAAGTAGATGTAATTACCCAGTGTGACGCGCTCTTCACTTATGTCACCTGCGCACACTGTACTAATGACAAGGATTTTAATGTTTGTTAATGCATTGCCAACTGCTGAAAATTGTCTGTTTGAATTATTCATGACCTGCTGAATTGTTCCTTCACAATCCGGTGCTGAGACTGGAGAAACACCTCAAAGGCCATGTACACATGGGAGCTAAAGTTGTCACTCCTTTCTTAATTCTTAAATTCATTCAAAGAGTTCAGTTATTTATGGAAATAACAACCAAAATGTGCAACTAAATTAACTATATTACTACAACTAACAACTGAAGAATCCAGAAAGTGCAACCAAATTTTCATTAAAGGAATAGTTCACTTAAAAATGAAATTCTGTCATTAAACCTGTATGAATTTCTTTCTTCTGCTAAACACAAAAGAAGATATTTTGAAGAATGTCGGTAACCAAACAGTTGATGTACCCCATTGACTACCATAGTATTTTTTTCCTACTATGGAAGTCAATGGGGAACATCAACTGTCTGGTTTCTGACATTCTTCAAAATATCTTCCTTTGTGTTTAGCAGAAGAAAAAGTCATTGAAGTGTGTACAACATCTAAATGAACCACTAGTTGTCTTGACACACAGATTTTGACTCTTATATCTCTTTCCACCAGTCAACAGTATTTTACTAAAAATGATTGTGCTTTAATCACTCTCTCCTCTCCACCTATAGCTGGTGTGTGGTGAGCGCACTGGCACCGTTGTTCTGTGGCGGCCGTCGCATCATCCAAGTGGATGCTGCACACTGGTGGTGGATTGAGGAGAGATCCCCTGACATGATTATAAAGCACTTTGGGTGTACAGTAGTACATATGAAAGACGCTATATAAATGCCTCATTCATTCATTCATTCATTTAATGCGTCTCTGATGGCTAATTTACTTTATCGAATATACACTATCGTTCAAAATATCGACCGTACTTTTTTTTTTTTTTTTTGAAAGAAGTTTCTTATGCTCACCAATTTGAGGCTGAATTTATTTGATCATAAATACAGTAAAACAGTAATATTGTGAAAAATATAAATATTTTAATGTTTTAAAATGAGATTTATTCCTGTGATGGCAAAGCTGAATTTTCAGCATCATTACTACAGTCTTTAGTGTCACATGATCCTTCAGAAATCATTCTAAGATGATGATTTGGTGCTCAAGAAACATTTTTTATTATTATCACAGTTGAAAACAGTTAATATTTAATGTTTTTGTGGAAACCATGATGGGTTTTTTTCAGGATTCTTTGAATATAAAGTTAAAAAGAACAAACAGGCTTGTCTGAAGTATAAAATCATTGGTTACCCGTAAGCCAATCACATAACGCAATCACCTCTCTCTCCAACTTAAACATCACCTCCATTCAAAATGTTTAACAAACACTCTTCTTGTTCGGGGTTCAGTTTGCAAATGCCGGGAATATTCTCCACAACAGAGCGAATTGCATCCCGTATCTCCATATCCGCGGTCCTTTTCGATTTCCCTAACCTAACATACAATCATACTCGGCGCTTAGCGTCTACGTCACGGCTCTCAGCCCGCCCTCTGTTCGTTGATTGGCCGGCTGTTTTCAGGCTGGAGGAAAACTGAGAGATAGGTCGCTATCTCAGACTGAGTACAGAAGCGAACTGAAATTGAGCGGAAGTACGAAGTCTGACGTAGTCAGACTAGTAATGGTTAGCAATCACATTAAACTATTGGCATCCATGTTTCTTGTTGCTTCAGTACACCAAAACCGTTGTGAAAATCACTATGAACCACAAATTCAGGAGTGACTTATGTATTTTTCTGTATGCACACAGCGATATTTTAAATTATTCAGTCCCACATTTAAATGTGGTCGTCACTCCTAAAACTTTGACATGTTTACACGACCAAGTTCCCAAGGTCAGTTATAAAAGAACCTAAACTCTTGTTGTTATTCTTTTTTAATGCTGCATGGCTTTCTCATATCAACAGCATACTTACTATGTTTAAGTTGAGTTAACCGCAGTAAATTGTTGAATGGACTCTCTGTGTTGGTCTTTTGTCCTGTTGAATCTACTAACCTGCTCCATCCTCTCCTCAGCGCAAGCCAGTGAGAAGGAGGTACGAGTCTGATGACGATGCCAACAGTGACGCATCCAGTGCCTGCTCAGAGCGTTCCTATAGCTCTCGTAATGGAGGCATTCCTCACTATCTGCGTCAGACGGAGGATGTCGCCGAGGTGCTAAATCACTGCGCCAGTTCCAACTGGTCAGAGAGGAAGGAGGGCCTGCTGGGTTTGCAGAACTTGCTAAAGAGTCAGCGCATTCTCAGGTGGGGGCCTTCAGAGGGACACAAATGGTTCTTTTTAGTGTCATTTCATTCTCCTCCAAGACAACAAGTAGAAAATAACCAGTCCGTAGCAAGTTTTGTTTTGTTGCTCATTTTTGTATTTTTATAGGCTGCATGATGCATGTACAAAATCCCAGTTGGCTTGCAATGGCTTTTTATACTTTTTCTGTTTTATTCTTATAGTGAACAGGCCTTTTAATCATATTTGTGTGTGTTTCAGCCGTGTGGAGCTGAAGAGGCTGTGTGAGATCTTCACCAGGATGTTTGCAGATCCTCACAGCAAGGTAACCTGTGTGATGATGCATACTTTCCACATGGCTGCTTTGATCAGACTTAATCTACTTACCAATGGCTGGATTAATGGTAGCAGTCCACATAAAGGATTTTATGAAGGATTACGTGCATCATGTGAAATTGTTGCGTTGTGAAATTATTTTAAATGAATCGTTATAATAGACTAAATAAGAGGCTTTAATCCCTATGGATTCTGTAAAATTAACAACTTTGTCTGGCAAACAGTGTGTTTGTGTAGAACTTAAAAAAATGGAATGAGATTGCACTAATAGAATGTGTTTTTTCCTGTTGTTTGCATGGTCTGCCTTGGTGTGGATTTTAACAATAGAGAGTAAGTGGATCTTACAAATACCTGAACAATCTTTTATATAAGTAGATTTATTATGTTGTATTCTTATGTCACACCATCATGAATGATACGTCAAATCATCCTGCCTGTTGTACTATTATTTTATGTTATTATATTATAAGTGATCAGACTTATAAACCGGCTTACAGGCAACCTTCCAAAAATCTCACAGATTTACAATTAACAAAGAAATCCTTAAACTATAACAGTGGTTCTCAACCAGGGGGCCACAGGCCACATTTACAAGGGGACCTCATGATGACTTGCAATGATTTAAAATAAGCCCTAAAATACCTGCAAAACAATTAGTATTTTATTTAACCCCCTTCAAAAAAGTTTATTTTAATTACAATTTTAGTTACCATACACACTCCTTAATTTTTGTAAAAAAAAGGACGGCAAAGCACCATTCACATTTTGTTGAGTGAATGTAGAAATGTAGTTTTCTAATACATTTGTGGGAAAGGCATATCAATCCATTAGTACGTTTATGAAATGATATGCAGCACAGCATTGGTGTGACGTTGGATGATCTACTTCCAGGTGTTTAGCATGTTCTTGGAGACTCTAGTGGACTTCATCACTGTGCACAGAGAGGATCTCCAGGACTGGCTCTTTGTACTGCTCACTCAGCTGCTGAAGAAAATGGGAGCTGACCTCTTGGGCTCAGTCCAAGCTAAGGTCCAGAAGGCTCTGGACATCACACGGTCAGTCTCTAGTGACAGTCCTAGTCAAGAGATTTTTTACCTCCACTACGCTTTTGTTCTTTTAGAACTTTTGTGCCGCTAGGATAAGCTCTTTTTTCTCTTTTCCCCCCTCTTTTAGAGATTCTTTCCCCTTCGACCAACAGTTTAACATTCTAATGAGATTCATTGTTGATCAGACTCAAACCCCCAATCTGAAGGTATGATGTTACCTTACAATACTGCTTACGAAACCCCAGCTGCAAATTCAGTGTGCTGAGCCTGTTATTCCTTTTTTTCTTGATGTTATAATGCAGGTGAAGGTGGCCATCCTGAAGTACATCGAGTCCCTGGCACGGCATATGGACCCTGCTGACTTTGTGAACTCAAGTGAGACGAGATTAGCCGTGTCTCGCATTATCACCTGGACCACAGAACCCAAGAGCTCTGACGTTAGAAAAGTGAGTTTCTATGGAGATGTGCTTACAAACAGTGCACAAATCAGTGCTGTAATGGTGGAGTGTAATGGAGTATGATGGAGAATAAGACGACATGGATTGAGCTCTTTATTTTTATTTCAAGGCTAATTCTCACAAATTCATTGTGTGAATTCTGTCAGCATTTACCATTCATTCACCCTCATGTTGTTCTAAATAACAAACTATCCCATTAAGAATCATTTCTGATCTTCGTTGCAAGTTTTTTACTTTTAAAATGTAGGTTAAACATCAATTAATCACAATGAACAGATGCAAGACATTTATTCCCAATATCAGTTGCTGCCTAAAGGCAACAAGTAGTCATCATCAGTTTCTCTTTTATTGTCTGTTACCCTATTGCCCTGACACGATGGCCCAGACCCTTCATAACTGGGCATATGAGGAGTTGTCAGGCAGGCCCAGCACTACAGCTCTACTTCCTGGAGAGGGTCATCTGGAGGAGAGGTGCAAGCAGGTAGTGCCAATCCAACGGCCTAACCAAAAACCCACACGTAACCGCTGCACCTAACCGTGTGCTCTCTCCTCACTCTAATCTGCCTCGTTGCCTTGCGAAGTGACTGCTGAATACAATCTCTTAACATGCAATTCTACCAGAAGGCTAAAGAGAGCAGAGATTAAAAAAAAAAAAAAACTACTCCAATAAATGAGTGTTTTAAAGTTTCCTTTTGTTTTTCAATTGCTGTTAACGCTCCACTGCTTAAGATATTTTTGGTTCTTTTCACAGAATAACAGTGAGTGAATCAGTGTTCTTGCATGTGTTTAACATTAAACAGAACGGAGTCATGGACATTTGTGCTATTTATGAATTGAGCGGAATTTGCAAGTCAAATTTACCAGGGTTGGGAATCTCGCCTGTTTGGGCCTTTAGACCGCTGTTTTCATTACGATAAAAGTGATATTTTGCATGTATTTCATCCGAGCAGAAATAACCATCAAGAATTGCAATTTTATAAAAAAAAAATTATTACTGTTTATTTATGATTTGTTGATCTGTAATGATCATATCTACAGTAACTACATGATATTGAAGGCAGTAAACATGGTAAGAATTGGTGTTTTCTTTCTTCCCCACTAAAAGAATCATTGATTGAATCGCTCGGAAACTAGAATCATTAGGGGGCATTGAAATAAGAATCGTCCCTTATGATTCCCATCCCTGATACTGAGAAAACCTACACACTAGAGAAAGCTTTGACAGAGCTTTTGACAAACAGGAATTTGTTTTGGAAATCAAGCTGGACGGTGACCCATTCTCTTAAATGTCAAAGGATGTGTAAACTGAACTCTAGTGTGTAGGTGACATATCAGATCCAGTTGTCTTCTGGTCATTGGAGCACTGCAGCCACAGTTCCTTATACAGTCTCTCTTTCTATTCTGAGTTATCGCCGCCGGATTTTCTCAGCATGTATAAGTGTGCTCCCGTTCATTAAGGTGTTAGTATTTGTGCTAGATCTCATGAGGTGTGCTGTGTTGTGCAGGCCGCCCAGGTTGTGCTGATCTCACTCTTTGAGCTGAACACTCCTGAGTTCACCATGCTGCTGGGCGCTCTGCCTAAAACATTCCAGGATGGAGCCACCAAACTCCTGCACAACCATCTGAAGAACTCAAGCAACACTAGCAGCGTGGTAAGATTTCTTGTTTTATCTCTTATGAGATTGTATATTAAAAGATTCACTATACACTACCGTTCAAACGACTTTTAAATGCTTTTGAGACCATTCTATTATGTTTTCTAAAGCTGCATTTATTTGATCAAAAAGATCAGTTACAATTGAAATTTTTACAGTTTTTGCTTTCTATTTTAATATATTTTAAGTAATAGTAGACAGACCATTGGTTGAAAAATGCTCAGTATGGCCGCTGTTGAAATGAAAGTCCCACCCTAAAAGAGTTAAAAGGAGCCAATCACATTTTTCACAGGGGCATTTCCTATTTTTTTTTTTTTTTTTTTTACTCTGATTTTTTTTAAAGACACGTGATTTTTGATGCCGTTGCCAGGTTTTATAGTCATTTGAAATAAACGCAATCTTGACAAACAGTTTTGGAAGTTTTAGTCTGTTCATTCAAGTGCATCAAGATCCCCACTGTTATCTGAGCTAGAAATTAATAGCAATTCAGGCAAAATGGCAAAAAGAAAACCATGATAAAGATCTGCCTTTAATATTGTTTTGTTGCTGAACTGTTGTTTAGCTATAGCCTGAAATGACTAAGGTTATTATTTCATCTTTGTCTCCTTCAAAGAGTTCACCGAGCAATACAATGGGCCGCACGCCACCCCGGCACCCCACCAGCAGGACCAGTCCTCTCACCTCACCCACAAATTGCTCCCATGGGGGTCTTTCACCCAGGTAACACTTCCTCTTCCCTCCTCCCATATGCTGACCATTCTAAAGCATGATCGCACTCTGGGCATGAAGACCTTCAAAGGCCTGTCACCCTGTTTTACGGCTCTAACATGTACTAAACATCTGAATTGGACTTGCTGTGTTGCTTTCTTCAAAATATCCCTTTACAACCTGAAACCCTTAAAATGAATTTCTGCATTTCTGGGGTAGGAGCCAAATCGCCTGCAGAGTCATCCTCTCATGCAGGGTCTAAAACTCTTTTAAAGAGGTCTGCAGAACATTATAGATGACGATTTAGGGGTTTCTGGTCCTCTTAAACTTATTAACCCATGCTGCTAATCACAACACTCCCACTGGACCACTCTCTTTTTCTCTCTCTCTTCCTCTTCTGCCCTGTTCTCTCCCTCTCCGGCCGTTCTGTGGGCACAGTCGGTTATGGGGTTGGAGTGTCGATGGGCTCTTAAAGCACCCCTCTCCCTCTCCTCCTCCTCCTACTCCTCCGTCTCACTCCTCTATTCCTGCCGGCCCCTCCCTCAGGGCCTTCCGCTGCGCGCTCTCACCAAGGTAACTCAGCCGCTAGCCATGATGAGGAGGGGGCGGGATGGGTGCTTAGATTCCCACCCACTCCCAGCCTAACAGGGGCATGGATGCACAAATATTAGTGGCCACGGTTTGAAATCATTCCAAATACAGAATTCCCTCTGTGGATGGTGGTTGATATAAATGTACTAAGAAACTGTGGAGGAATTTTTAATGGATGTAAAATTGGTTTTGCACAGTCATTTACTAACTGACCATGTTTGGAGCATCCATTTACTCACTTTTAGGTGCATGTTGGAGTTGTCCACTCAATTCTTTTTAAATATTTTGTATGCTTTGGCTTACTTGTTTATGTGACTGTTGCAGTCCATTCAACGTCAATATTTATTCCCTCTTTTACTCTATTTCTCTCTTCAGTATGCTGGAGTATGACACAGAGAACATGAATTCTGATGAGATCTTTAGCTCACTGCGTGGGGTCACAGAAGCCATCCAGAGTTTCAGTTACCGCAGCCAAGAGGACCTGAATGAGCCAATCAGACGTGATGGGAAGAAGGATGATGCTGTGAGTCTATGCTTTAACAGTGGGAAACGGGAACAAGGACACCGATGGGGATTTTTATTTCCATATTTTGTATATTTTTGCTAATATTATTATTAATGTTATTAATAATATAATTAATAATAAAAAAAGCAACAACAAAAATTGTGGTCATTAAATATAATAAATAAAATCAATAATAATAAAATCAATAATATGAATAATAATAATTGAAAAAAAAAAACCACGTAAAAATAATTATTTAAATAACCCATTAATTATTATTATTAATATTTTATAATATACTTTATTCATCTACTTTATTAATAATTAATTAATAATACCTTTTTCTATTTAGTTATTTGTATTTATTTATTTTCTTATTTAAAAATTCCAAAAATAGCTGTGAGAGTGTGGTGAGAGCCTACCACAACTAAAATGGACCATAAATTTACTTTCAATTGCAGATACAATGTGAATGCAAAGTAATCTAGATTTTTTTCCAAATTGTACATCCCTAATCTGCACATATTTAACACTCTTTGACTCTTCCTGACTTAGACTGGGAAGGAAGGGGCATCTCCGGGGTCTGATGCAAGGATGGGATTGGATGTAGTGGAGGGTGGTCGAACCGCTTTGGATAACAAAACATCTTTGCTCAACACACCGTCCCCGCGGTCTTTCGCTGTGCCACGGTCGAGAGAGTTTGCACCCTATGGCTACGGAGACACGATCACGGCCTATGACAAAAGTGCCCTGAAAGAGGCCGTCTTTGACGACGACGTGGAGCAGTTCCGAGACTGTGAGTCATTACGCTGCTCAACGCTTGTACATCCACTCTCACGTCTGTACTCCATACTGCACCCATTGTCTTTGATTGTGTAAAGAAGCACTTTATGAACAAAAACAAGAATTGCAAGAAATAAGAATCATAGAGTATAAAGAGGCATATAAAATTTTTTAAATGACGCTGGTCAATCTGGTTGTCTTACGAGGTGTTGTTGAAAGTAAAAAATAATGTCCTTGATTACAACCTTGTTTCAATCCCTTTCAATATAAAAGTCTTTGCTACTGACTCACACATAAAGACAGTCTCTTGACGTCATATAATGGTGTAACAAGTCAATATCATCATCACTAACAATAGACTTTTCAGACAGTTTCTCAATACCAAATACTATGTTTAAATACTACTATTATTTTTATAAAATATTGTTTATTGAACAATAATATTTAAAAAACAACAATAGCCATTATTTAAGTTGCTAAGCAATTCAGTCAAAAGTGCAAAGGCAGCGCTCTGATACAGCTTTAATGTTATAGAAAAATATAAAGTTATGAAACTTTACCTTCAGCCAAAACTATTTCCTCAGGAACAAATAATAGATTGAGACCAAAGAATGTCCAGTAGATATACCCCAAACTAATTATATCTCATGTTAAACCACTATAGTGACATCAGAGCCAGCAGCCATTTCCAGAAAAACTGGCCAAGGTAAAGCTGTTCTCGGCAGGTACATGAGGGTTGAATTGCCGCTGACACCCTGGAGCTCACATCTCCGAAAACTTTAAAGCGAATTTTCAAATAGGCACTATCTTTATAAATAAAAAGCATATTGGTTTAAGTTTAAGTTTAAACAACTACATTCTAGCCTAAAAACTCTTGAAACTACATTCCGTAACACAACAAGAGTAGTATTTGTAAAATTATAGGGGGTTTGCTCCTCCGCTAGTGATACTAGTGATGAAATGGTTCCTGTGGTGAAACTGGTAGAATATCGCATGGCTAGAAAGACCTCTCAGCCCATCAGATTTGAGGATCAGAAGTAACTGTTGTGTGTGTGTATATATTAGCGTATGTTTCAGATATGCAGGTGTAGCATTTAGGATAGTGGAGTTTGTGTGTCATCACTTCCCCTCCTGTCCCTCCCCTTCTACAGGCCGTCGGCAAGACTGTGGTGAGAACAAGATGGTGCTGCCCAAGGGCTTTACTCCTGGTAAAGACCTGCACAATTAAACAAGACTGTTGCACTTTCCTTCATTTACTTCCCCTTCCACCTCCTCTCTTTCAGTGTCATCCATTTCCGTGTGTCTCATGTGATGGCAGCCTTAAATGACACAACTGCTTTGCTAACAGGGTTATTTGATAGCTGCTACAGGCCACCAGCACTAATAATAAGGCAATATAGTAGGATTGTTTATTGGGTGACTATGTTCAGATTAAATGGAAACCTGGTGATGATTCACTGCATTTTGCTTTGCAACTAACAGAACTTCACTGTTTGCAAACACATTTCTGTAACTCATAAGATTAACCTGAGTCTAAGTGAACACTTAAACTTTCCTAACAATTGTACTAACTAAAAATAACATCAAAACACTTTTACTTATTTTACACTACTTTTAATATAAAGTACTTACTAATAAAGACATATAAGGGTAAATCTTATGAAAATATATCAATTATATTATTTCATTTCATTGATAATCGTTATTACTGTAATTATTGTATTAAACTGTAATGCATTGTTTTGTTTTTTTTTAATCAGTATACATTAAACTCTACTACAAAAATAGAATTACAACAAAATGCTAAATGAAAAATACATTATTTAAAAAAATTTTTTAAAATAAGTACTACCATGTTAGTACCTAACAATTTAATATTTTACCACTGTTTTAAATGTCATGATCCAAAAAACAGGCCTAAAAGTAGGCTTGTTTAAAAAAAAAAAAAGCAAAATATAATGCAATTCTTTTAGATTTGAGGTGAAACGCCGCCCTAGACATGTTCTTGACAGGTTTCATAAGATTCAGTAATATTGAATATCATATACTCAAAAGAGATGAGCCAAAAAAAGCCAAAGTGTTCCAGTACAATTTAAGTAGAACAATAGCTTGTTTATGCAGATTGTCTTCTGCTCTGACTTGAATCATTGTGGATCGTTCAGATTTGGTGGCAGACCTGCTGAAGGAGCTGTCTAATCACAACGAGCGAGTGGAGGAGAGGAAGGGGGCGTTGATCGAGCTGCTGAAGATCGCCCGTGAAGACAGCCTGGCTGTGTGGGACGAGCACTTCAAAACAATCCTATTGCTGCTGTTGGAGACACTCGGGGACAAAGATGTCAGTCAAAGCATCATACAACTTGCATGCTCATTTGGCACATTCAATTAAGTCTTTTACATATCAAGTTGCATTTGTAGGTCTGTATGTATTTGATAGTGGTTAGTAATGATTTTTTTCTGTCTGATTATTTAGCACACTATCCGAGCACTGGCTTTACGGGTTCTGAAGGAGATCCTGAGGAACCAGCCAGCGCGCTTCAAGAACTATGCAGAACTCACCATCATGAAAACACTAGAAGCCCACAAGGACTCTCATAAAGAGGTTAGAATCAGCCCTCTCATAAATATAATTGTTTTAACCTCCAATCAATTTAAGCAGTACAACTTTATGATAATACTCAAAAATCATACTTTAGCTAGTATTGGTCTATACGTTGTGATTAAAGTAATACGTTGTGATTAAAGTAATACGTTTTTTTATAGCAGGGGTGAAAATGTAGTAGGTTTTCTATTATAATTCCTTGCGGTTTTCTTTTCTTTTTTTACTAGAACTTATTAATAATATCAAAATATTCAATAATAATAACAATAATGGGTAACACTTTATTTTACAGTGTCATTGTTACATATGTTACATGCAGTTACTATAGTAATAACTATAAATTATGCATAATTACATGCAACTAAAACAAACCAAACTCTAATCCTATTGTAAGTACATGTAGTTACTTAATATTACTCAGTACTTAAATGTATAATTACAGTGTAACAAAGACACCTTCAAATAAAGTGTAACCCAATAATGTGTAAAGGTGAAGAGACAAATTAATAAATGATTAAACTGTAATGTTTAATATGAGTTCATTGTAGTAATGCGATCAGATTAAACCTTGTTTTGTAGTATATGAATATATCTTTTAAACCAAACTCCATTGTCACCAAAATCCTACTCACATGTGACCACATTGTTTCTGAGAAATCAAGCTGGCCAGTTGACTTTTTCTTTGGAACAGCCTCATTGAGAGTAAAATGAGCTGATTGTTCTCTTTAATCCTATTTTAAATACAACACCTGCACATGTGGACACTGAGCACCTTGGTTACCGGTACATCTAAAGCAAGATGGCCAAACCCAACTCCTATATGAATAAATGAATGAAGTACAGGCCTGTGGAGGATAAGCCCTTTGCCAGTTAATTTCCCAAATGTACTCATTCCCTTTCCATGTAATACAGCAGTAATAGAGCAGTCTGTAGTACTGCGACCTAATCCAAATGAAGTTATTTTTCCATCGAATTTTCTGTCAGATCTCAGGTTGTTAAATGTTATATGTGCAGGTGGTAAGGGCAGCTGAAGAGGCTGCCTCTACATTGGCCAGCTCCATTCACCCAGAGCAATGCATCAAGGTGCTGTGTCCCATCGTACAGACCGCAGACTACCCCATCAACCTGGCTGCTATTAAGATGCAGAGCAAAGTGGTTGAGCGCATTGCCAAGGAGTCCCTGCATCAGCTGCTGCCAGACATCATCCCTGGCCTCTTACAAGTAAGTATTTTATGTTGGCAGCTTTTTATGATTAAAAAAAGTTCATCTCGCAACTTCTGTCAACTTGTTACATTTTTAAATTGCCTCTGTGCAAAATACTTTCTTATTTCCTATACAGTCTCTAGAGCTGTTTTAAATTTCCTACTTCCATCTTATCATAGAGACATCAATTGAATGTCAGTTCGAGAAGTTTGAAAATTGGAACATTGTAAACGTTGGGAGCGTGTCTGTTGTGTTTGGTGTGTGTGAGTGTGAGAGAGAGACAGTGTGTGAGAGAGAAGATGATAATGCCAAAATGGTCTATCTGTCTGCAGGGCTATGATAACACAGAGAGTAGCGTTCGCAAGGCCAGCGTGTTCTGTCTGGTGGCCATCTACTCAGTGATTGGTGAGGAGTTGAAGCCACACTTGGCCCAGCTCACAGGTAGCAAGGTATGTTCACATGCTCTCAAAGTCCACCGAAAGGTTCACCCCGTTCAACCTCCTTATCACGAAGTCCTCTATTTATTTGTGTCTCCCATCTGGTTTTAACTGGTACTTTAAGTTTTTATATTTTTCCCACTTTCATTGCACTCGGGGTTCATAGCACAATACATTTAAAAAGAATACATTTTTTTTTCCTGGTCACATTACACCTCAAAATCAAATAACTCATTAAAATAAATGTGTGGTATATTTTGTGGTGAAATATGATGCAGACAAGTTCTGGATAATTTTCATTAAACGCTATTCATTAAATGCATTAAATGTGTACAGATGTCTAAGTGCCCACTCTTTACATTTTATTCAAATTATTGATATCAGTTTAGTGCTGAGTATGGTTTCTGCAAAGTGGTAAATTTGTTGCATCATATTTTGTCAAACCACCTACATTGCCCTTAGAGAAAAAATAACTTTCTCCTTTTTAGACACAATGCAAAAGTAAATATTAACCCTGACCTTCTAAGATAACACAACTACAGTTGAAAGTGTAAAAAACATGCTCTTATCAGAGAAACCAGGTCTATACATAGGTCTATAGGAGTATTAGCATGTGCTGGATTGAAATTCCCTGTGTCTTTTATTTCCACAGATGAAGTTGCTAAATCTGTATATTAAGAGGGCCCAGACCATCAACAGCAACAGCAGCAGTTCTTCAGACGTGTCCTCTCACAGCTAGCTGGGTGGACTCTAATCAGTGCCCTACATGTGCATTTGGGAACATAGTTGTGCCTCCTCCAGACATCTTTTTTTATTGTTTCATCACAATCTTGCTGGATTTTCCCAGAGAGATGTGTTGCTCACTGCAATCAGACTTTTCTTTTCATCAAGTCCTGGAAACCTCTTAGTTAGTCTCTATTGCATCTTTCCATCTGTGGAATGTTGAATGTAAAGGGGCTCGAATCAAGGAAAATGCATGCAGATCTTCCGTGATAGGCATTGCTTCCTTAATTTTAGGCTTTCTTCAGCTTCTGAACAGGTGATTCGTTAACTACATTTATTAATAATAACTTATTGATGTTTGCAAGTGGTGTTAAAGGTTTAGTTGAGTTATTTGGATATTTTAAATGGGCACAGTTGGGTTAACTTATACCCCACTTGAATCTCAGTGGATCATTTGGCTGGCCGAGTGATAAATGTAAAGAAAAGAGAAGTAATTTGTAGGTTTGGCTACAATGACAACCAAAAAAACAAAAGTAGGATTAAAACACTCTTTTATTAATTTTTATTTCATGGGACTGCAATACCACATCCCTTTATGTTGAAAGTGAAAGCAATTGTGGTGGTTTTATTATAGAATGGATTGTGTGTTAAAAATGTGGGCCTCACTACAGAACACAAGGACAAACTACTGAATGTAGAGCTTTTCCTTTTATCTTTGGGGGAGTGAAGGGTTTCGTAAGTAAACATGCGAGACAGAACACACACAGTCATTTAAAAAGTTCACGAACACTCGAATGAAGTTGAAAACGTGACCTGGAGCATCTTCAGTCAAGAAACAATGAATGAAACCGATTTACACTTTGTTCTTGGAGCAAGAGGATTGTGATGGAAATTTCAAAACTACTATGCCTTGCGTTCCTTTTTCTGTTTAAAAAAAAACTCAAGACTGTTAAGATATACGTGTCCACAGGCATTCTTACTACATTGCTGAAGCATGACACTGCAAAGTTCACCACGTGTCTACGGCACTAATGATAAACCCTCTCTGGCTCAAGAACTAGATGTTATGTTCTCTGAAAGGTCTGAACTCTTTCATTTTCCTTGTTCATCTGGAGAACATCCATCTGATGTTGTGTTTTGTACATACCTTTCAATCATTGCTTCTCACTCCCCCACAAAATTAAGGTAAAGATGTTGCACTCTTTGCACGTTAACAAATAGCCTGCATGTTTTGATGACATAACCATCCCGTGCTGCCGTGACTGACCTAAGTTTGGCTGTTTGTGAAAACTTGCCATGTCGGCAATCTGGTCAGTCTGTAAATACAGTATTATTATTGTTATTATTAATATGTTGCCCATGTGGGGAAGTAGACAAGTGCAAAAACTCAAATGGGTCTCACAGAGTTGACCAAAATGCCTGTCCTCAGACTGAACCAGACCACATTAGAAATTTAGGACAGACATTTAAAAAGCACCCTACTTTTAGTATTATATACTGAGGCTTGTGGCTTTTATTGGTATGCTAAGTGTGCGTACCCTTGTTTGATTCAGAGTTTCTTTCTTATGGTTTTTAACCGATTCAGACCATGAACTATCATTTTGGTTTAGACTGGGGTTATTCATAATTAATCCGTTTATAAAAGGACAAAGCCAACTGTGAGGATCAACATTGCAAGTATTAAGTCGCCCCTTGGGTTTCCTGAAACGTTGACCTCTAATGTTATTACATCAAATTGTTCACTACGCATGTTAGACTTTGTTTTGTCATTGGACACAGATACACTCTTGTATTTATAAGTTTATTTCATTTTCTGTCCCATTGTACAGTTTTTTGTTTTGTTTTTTCGCAAAGGCTTATGATAGATTTACATCAACTTGAGTTTGGCCTAGAAATAAAACAACCAGAAACATGAATTTATTTTGATGATTATTTTAAACCCTAAAATGTATCCGAGTTGACTGTATTTTTGTTGTGGGGCTGTTGAGTGTGCAATCAGCAACTCTGGTATTATCACAATTCATGCACTAGTACATTTATAGACATTCACATGAGATAACGTGTACTCAGTCCTAGTTAGTCCAGTGCCATAAATGTCCAGTGCCAAAGAAATTAAGGGTGTACTCACACTAGCCAGTTTGAACCGTGCCCGAGTGCGTTTGACCACCAAAGCGCGGTTCGTTTGACTAGTGTGAGTGCTCCGAACCGTGCCCGGGCGCGGCTCGATTAGCCGGCCCTGGCCCGCTTGGAAGAGGTGGGCCAGAGCACGGTTCAGTTGGACTCGGGCGCGGTTCGCATGCAGTGTGAGCGCTAACCGTGCCGGAGCACGGAACAGGACGCGTGGCGTCATGGTTTTGCGACGCTCCAAAACCAACACAGTCCGTAATCAAAGCTGCAAAGTCCTTGCTGCACTTCAGCTGGTACCTTGCAAACCTCCTCATACGAGCAGCACGATTACGTGAAAATGTTCGCGCCACTAAGGCGACGCATCTGTTTAACAACAGGCTGTGGACCACCGTGGACCAAACGACACAAAATTATCCACAAAGAAAACAGAGCGATGGACTTCATTGTGTTCAGAGAGCGCCGCTCTTCTTGTTTGTTTATCCCGAAACCGTCGCACGCACCATAATGACGTAAGCGTGCTCCGGCACGAATGCTGAAACCCTATGTGAGTGCAGGCCAGAGGGGGAGTGGGGAGGGGGGACAATCGTACTCGGGCCCGGTTCATGGCAACCGTGCCTAGTGTGAGTACACCCTAACAGTATATACACTCACCGGCCACTTTATTAGGTACCCCATGCTAGTAACGGGTTGGACCCCCTTTTGCCTTAAGAACTGCCTCAATTCTTCGTGGCATAGATTCAACAAGGTGCTGGAAGCATTCCTCAGGGAGTTTGGTCCATATTGACATGATGGCATCACACAGTTGCCGCAGATTTGTCGGCTGCACATCCATGATGCGAATCTCCCGTTCCACCACATCCCAAAGATGCTCTATTGGGTTGAGATCTGGTGACTGTGGAGGCCATTTTAGTACAGTGAACTCATTGTCATGTTCAAGAAACCAATTTGAAATGATTAGAGCTTTGTGACATGGTGGAAGTAGCCATCAGAGGATGGGTACATGGTGGCCATAAAGGGATGGACATGGTCAGAAACAATGCTCAGGTAGGCCGTGGCATTTAAACGATGCCCAATTGGCACTAAGGGGCCTAAAGTGTGCCAGGAAAACATCCCCCACACCATTACACCACCACCACCAGCCTGCACAGTGGTAACAAGGCATGATGGTTCCATGTTCTCATTCTGTTTACGCCAAATTCTGACTCTAACATCTGAATGTCTCAACAGAAATCGAGACTCATCAGACCAGGCAACATTTTTCCAGTCTTCAACTGTTCAATTTTGGTGAGCTCTTGCAAATTGTAGCCTCTTTTTTTCTATTTGTAGTGGAGATGAGTGGTACCCGGTGGAGTCTTCTGCTGTTGTAGCCCATCCGCCTCAAGGTTGTGCGTGTTGTGGCTTCACAAATGCTTTGCTGCATCCCTTGGTTGTAACGAGTGGTTATTTCAGTCACTGTTGCCCTTCTATCAGCTCGAACCAGTCTGGCCATTCTCCTCTGACCTCTGGCATCAACAAGGCATTTCCGCCCACAGAACTGCCGCTCACTGGATGTTTTTTCTTTTTCGGACCATTCTCTGTAAACCCTAGAGATGGTTGTGCGTGAAAATCCCAGTAGATTAGCAGTTTCTGAAATACTCAGACCAGCCCTTCTGGCACCAACAATCATGCCACGTTCCAAGTCACTCAAATCACCTTTCTTCCCCATACTGATGCTCGGTTTGAACTGCAGGAGATTGTCTTGACCATGTCTACATGCCTAAATGCACTGAGTTGCCGCCATGTGATTGGCTGCTTAGAAATTAAGTGTTAACGAGCAGTTGGACAGGTGTACCTAATAAAGTGGCCGGTGAGTGTATGTGTGTATATATATATATATACACACACACACATCTTTATATATATACATATAAAACACATATATACATATTTTATTCATATATAAACATGTATATACATATATTTTATTCATATATATATATATATATATATATATGAATAAAATGTGTGTATATGACAGACAGATTACCTTTTCCTCTATAAAATTCTCTATACGCGCACATCTATATATGCGTGTGTGTGTGTGTAAATATTTTTACAAGCTCTCCCAGTTTAGGGTTGGGAGAGGGTAACAGGCTTAAATTAAATCAAAAAGGATATATATATGCTATATATTACGTTTTCCTAATACATTCAATGTCAAAAATATAACTCTGCAATGCATTAATGGAAATACTAGCAGAAACAAACATTTATTGTATTAAAATAATCATCAACTACTGTCAAATTATATCGTAGTGTCTCATAACAAAGGCATGAAAATAGATTATTTAATAGTCTTGACAGGTTTTTAAGTACGGTTTCAGTTGCCAGTGATTTTAAAGTTTTCCATCAATACAGATGTGAAACTAGTATAAAAGCACATGCGTGTGCTTACAAACCTCGCATTGCATAATCTAGTGTATAAAGTTCTGCGCGCAACATGGTTTATCAGCAACTCAGTCTTGACCTTTGATGTCAGAGTCATAGCCTGTGTGCCAAAACAACTCGGTAGCCGTTTGTTATTAAACGATCGCTTCAGAAAAGTCCGTGAGAGCGTCGGTGCAGGAGGTGACAGGATGAAGGCAGAGTGACGGACTCTCAGGTCACCTGACGACCGTCACGCGGGGATAAAAGACAGTGGACAAGCTGGTTCGGAAAAGCCTTTGTGGCCCTCACGGTCCCCTCGCCGGCCACCACCGTTTGACGACTCATATTTTTGGAGACCAACGTCGCTGAACTGTAGAGCATGCTGTTTTGGCACAGCCATCCTGAAACCTATCAACAACACTCGCAAAATAATTATATAAGGTAAGTAACGTTACATTGGCGCGAGTTATAGAGATTGTAGTCGATTTACGTTGTCATTAAATGTATTTATTTTACATTTTTCCTTTTTTTATTGTATATTATAATAAACTTTATCTTTATACAGATTAATATAGCCTACCCGAAGTCTTTCACAAGAAAACTTATGATACCTTAGTGACAAAGCAAGCAGAAAGTCATTAGACAGCGGATTTTTTTTTAAAGTCAGTTCAATATAAGTCTCTCATCAGTCATATTATCTGCCCTGATTTTGCAGTACTTAGACCAAACTAAATTATGCATAATTACATGCAACTAAACCAAACCTAACCCTATGTACATGTTACTATATATTCCTCAGTACATAAATGTCTAATTACCGTAGACACCATAAAGTGTAACCGTTTTTTGTAACTGTATTGCAATGTGGTGCTTGAAAATACAAAGGCAGTTTCTGAAAGATTACCATATTCTTAAATTATTGTGTGTGTAAAGTGTTCTTAAAAGTATCTCAATGAGTTCCATCAAATATACACTTTATTGTTAGTTCACTTGGCATTAAGTTTTGAGCCTCTACTTTATTGGTCTATAGTATGTCCTTTATTTTCCCTCAGAGATGCTCTTGCTCCATTTCTCAAGCATGAAGAGGAGCATCAGTCCACTGAGATCAGAGCGTCTCCTTTTCATTATGTGCTTTGTGCAGCCACATCTCCAGCGGTGAAACTCCAGGATGAAACACTTACATATTTAAATCAAGGTATTGTTAAATAGTCTTCTTGTGCTTGTTTAACTTCAGTCAACATTTGAAGTTGCATAGCACATTGCTTTGTCTTTTCATCTTATGTTCATCTTTAAAGAACCTTTTTTCCCAGCACATATCAGTCTGTACTTTTGACATGATGGTGTTACCGAAAGTTGTTGATGTCTGAAGTCCATGACTAAAGGTGACATGACTAAATGACATGACTAAACATGACATGACTAAAACGAACAACACACTGCATAAAGAGTTACCAAAGCAAACTCTTAAGAAGAATCACAATAAACACTTGTTGTAAATGTGATTTTTAATCACTGGAGCAATATTTTTACATTTTATTTTGAGGCTTACAGATGATTTTGCTCCTATACATGTACAGTAATTAATTCTGTTATGTGGACATTAAAATAATGTAAACCATTTGTGCATTGGAAGTAAAATCAACCATTACAAACTATACTTTCAGTGTGGTTTCTGTTTTTTCCATTTTAATATGTCTTGGTTTAATGCACTGTAGGTCAGTCCTATGAAATCCGAATGCTTAATAGGAAACTAATGGAGTATACAGATATAAGCAGCAAATATGTAAAGGTAGGTTAAATGAATAATGTGTTTTTTTTTACTATGTGACTGTTACAGTATGCATCACCTGTCTATACACTATAGTTACAGTACTGTTCTATCTTCCCCGCCACATTAGTGGCCATATTATGGATTACATTAGAGGTTTTGAGGGGTTTTTAGTGCAGACCTAGAGATAAACAAAGATGCTCTTTGAAATAATCTCATATCATTTTTAAAGATTTTAAAATGTAATATATATGTGTGTATATATATATATATTATTATTATTTTTATTTTATTTTTTTACAGTTTTTAGTTGTTAGTTTATTATCCAACAGATGGCATATTCTAGGTTTGTTTGTTTATTTATTTGTTCAATAGAGACATGTAAATATTAATATGCTGGATTTAGCAATATTGCTAATTTACATCCATAGTATGTCCCTTGGAACGT